AATTATCCCAAGAGCTAAATTGTATTAAGATGTATTTCTTTTTTATCATTGTCCATCAGGTATGGGTTGATGAGGAGTGAACAACTAAGAGTACCCGTTGGTTGCCGGGCAACCTGGTTTGAACTTTGATAATATTATTTTTCTTACACAAGCATTACTTTAGTTAGATATTGTTTGCCAAGGTAGTAATGTCTAATTCAATTCGGGCAACTCTAAAAATCAAGCAAAGACAATCCTAATCATGACTTTCACTTTAACGTACGGTAGAAGAACTCCTATTCGATTATAGGGTCCGGTGGGAAGAAAACTAAATAAGCCTCATAAAGGAAAGCCGGGGTAGAGATCCGAACGAAAGCAAAACTGTTACCCAATGGATTTTGGTATATTGCTTGAACCTCAGACGTAGAGGTGCGAAGCACATCAGCAACGGAGTTTCAAACAACGAATAGCTAAATTCGATTCTTTCCGTGATACCAAAAGGCTTGGAGAAGAAATAATACTTTTATTGATGTGATCACGCAATGAAAGATGGTCTTGACACACGTACAATTAACTGACAGAATATTCCAAACTGTCAACCATCGATATGCTGCACTCACTCACAGGTCTGATAGGTTTCGTGCGGTGTCTTTTCCTTCGATCTCTTACCCTTTTCTTCGAAATACACAACCACCATCCACGTGTGTGAAACACGATAAGTACCAAATTTCTTGCGCACTTGCTCTGGTTGAACGTGGTGAACTTCATCCCTCAAACAGCCGGATATATAGATTCCAAGCCATATTGTTTAGTCTGATTTCGTGCGCACGCGCGCTCGCCCGAGCTCACAAATGCACACTTACGGGAAAACCTGAACTAACTGCTATTGTGTCGGTCCTCTGCGAAATGCGATAGTGCTTTGTGTTTACAAATAGAACACTTGCCTGTTCATACCATCTGGTGCTTCATGGATAACGGAGCGAAAATACAAGCCGGTGTGCAACGACGAATGAACAATACTTGATGCAAAAACAGCCCGAGAAATACAAACCGACTATAATTGACGATCCGTATTTGCGTACAAACATAAAAACAAACGCTTACCCGAGTTGATAATTAGACATCGGTCAAAAGTAATTTGTCTATCCCAATGCGGTTACCTGTAGCTATGGATTCGAATATGTAGCAGCGCTGCTAGAATCCAACAAATAGTACGAATTGGTTCTGGTCCTCATCAAAGTGGAATACGTTGCATCACTTTAAATTTGGTAATGAAGTTTATTGGAAAAATATTCTCCTGTGCTCGCTTTGCCCTGTTTCCAATCCATTCGATCAAGAACGACAGGCTATGCAAGGTCTTTGTGGATCAATCCACAAAGATCTTAATGCGATGTACAAAACATGTCATGTTTGATTACTTTTGTTCATGATACCCTGAAGCCAGCAGCATTCTCTGGTAAGCTTTTTTGGTTCTCCTGTTAACTTGTGTTTTATCTGTCTCGAAAAAAGGTATATTCTCCTATGTTTGATTGTGAACTGAAATACGTTTCAGCTGTCATCTCCGTGTTCGCCATAGCTGAAGTAAAGACTAACCCACTCAGCTAATAGTGTCATCTGATGTGCGTCGATTTTCATGAAGTTGCGCCATCGAAATTCCCTTGACATATATTTGGTAGATAGCATTTTCAGATGCAACCTGCATTTCCCGATTTTTGATTCGCGATCCGCTAGTAAAGATTGATCATTTTGACGGTGATTCCAATACTACGGATTCTATCATGTGATAATATTTAGTTATTTATTCATATTTTTAGAAGAGAATAACAAGCAAAAACAGCGCTCAAATACAAAAGGATTGTTTTCTCAATCAGCCGTAGTGCGTTCATTCGTTTTGTCAGAACTAATGACTCGCAAAAATAATAAGTCACGAAAAACGGTAACAAAACCTTCATAGAACACAGTGTACCTCTGCCAACCGTTCCCATCATTTGTGGCTACATTTTTATCTCTTTCGTTCACATACAGTTAGAATAAACCAAGCACACAAAAGATCAAGGCTTTCTTTATCCTGGAAACAAATGACGTCAAAATGATACTCCGTGCTCGAAACAAACAATGAGAGTATTGATTACAGACAAATTTGTATGTTACAAAAATATGTTGCATTCCTTTATCCGTAGAAGGCACCCTTCCCATTTCTTATATGTCACTTTGTATGTTGAAAAATGCACAAAGAGAATATGCAACTTGATCATCGCAGGCATATTACCAAGGGCCTTAGAGATTCGATATTTCTCCTGCATAGAACACGTGATTCTGCAGTATGCTTATAAAAATCTGCCTTGCTTTCGTTAGTAATGATGAAACCATAAACTGGGACGTTACGTTAACTACCTGAAGTTTTTACCAAGGGTACCACATTTTTTAAAGTACTTGACTTTACCTAATGAAATAATTGATAAATTGCGCTACTGTAGAATAATGCAAGAATAAATTTCTGTCATTCCGATTAATAAACTAACAATGATCTATTTATTGAAGGCTTTATACAAATCTTTTCGGTTAAGTGAAGAAACGTTCGGACTTTGACGGCATTCCTCACTCAGTAACAAAAGATTGCTCACCTTTTGATAATCCGTCGGTAAATGACTCAGCAACTCGGTCTTCTTGCTTGCATTGCCACCCTTGGAAGAAGAAAGAAAAGGAATATGTAATCCCGTATAACTGGGTTCAAATTACGGTTATCACGGAAACATCGTAGAATAGTTTTCATGCTAAAATTTCAATCAAATGTTTTACCCGTTTTTCTGTATTTGAAAAGTAAACTGCATTGTGCGGAGGGATGTATTTTATACATGAACCGCATTCCTCAACTGAACGATTCACGCAATGTAAAGCAAACTTAGGTCATTGCTCAAGTAAAAGTTTTCATTATTGAAGCAGACCACCCTCCTAATAGTACATGAGAAGCAAGCGATCAGTAATCAGTTATTAGTGATAAACTATCCCCCGTTTCGGTCAACTGGATGTTTCCCGTGATCATACAAGTCTCAACAATATTATCGCACCAGAGACCCAAATGCACTGATCAAAGAAATGGAGGTAGCAATGAACTCACCAAATCAAACTGTATTCACATAATTTCCGCAGTCAGATGGTACACTGTAACCCAGCCTTCTATGCAAATTAACACACAGACTTGATGAGCTGGTGACGCAATATCTAGTACGGTGTGGTTGACTGTGCTTACATTTGGTCTCAACAAACTCGTTCTATAAGTTTAATTTATAACTGAGGATGGTTTTACTAGTAAAGCACCGCAAGATAGCCAGTAAGATCATTTTGATTTTGACATTTCACTTGCAGAGAAAGCTTTTTAGCACTTCTTAAAATCGGCTCATTCCCTCTGATGATACAATCGAATACTCGGTTGGTGATTACCTCAATAAGCAGCCCCTACTACCAGCCCGAATGGGGTGTCATAATGAATTCGATACTGAATGCTAATAACGGACGAATCTCTGATCACCCCGCTGCAACAGTTGACACATTCAGTTTATTGCCTAATCAATGAAACGTTTCTAATACAACGTTCACTTTGGTAGTCTTCTCCTGGTGTACAAACACTTTATTGAATTGACAGCGGAGCATATGAAGACAGTACGCATTAGATCCTAAACTATTTTTTTGCGAAGTCTATTCACCTGCCAAATACCCAAGGAAGCATATATGAAGCAAACTTCTAACCGGTCGGAAACAAGCTCAGATATGATCTATCCTTCACTGCTTTAAAATAAAAAAATGCACGTGAATCTTGGTGGATTCACTAGCTAACTGTGCGTGATCTATTGAATCCAAAAAATGGCCATTTGAGCGTTCCTTGTAACTGCCCTGAACCAAGCGATTCACAGGTGCAACCTAGAATGTTTAAATTAGAATATACCGGTATCCGGCATGTTCGTATAGAGTACACGTATTTCGCAGTGTGCATACACAGATTTGAAAGACCCATCTCATCTCTTGCTGACAGATTTTTTCTTGTTTCTTCTGCCCCAGTTAACAAAATAAACATCACAATTTGCTATCTTTATCATGTTTTCGTCGCGTTTCCAAAAGTATGATCAATCTCCTATTGACGGTGAACCTTTTTTTAATGAAATTTATCCCACTAGGGACAGTGGCGTTCCGGTAGGGTATGAAGTGCAAGGGAATCTAAGGGTTTTTAAATGAATGATTTACGCCATGGTCTGTGGAACTGGTGAATGGAAGGATACGTGTACGGTCGTGTAGATGGATGGTTGCACATCAATTACTGATTGGTTTAACGGGTACAGAATGATCTGCAGCTAGGTACAAGTAGGTAACTTGGACACGGACAGGGGAAGCATTTGGTGGATATGCAGTGATCTAGTGGGACAATGTTGGGTGCACCTGTTTATTGATCTGGTGATTTTTTCTATATGCAGGTGGAGCCATGCTTAATCACACATGTAACTGTTTTAAGTTAGTTTAAGTAAACTTTAATCCGCGATGCGATACAAACCTTAGGTGAGCACAACACATTGTTTAAAAATTAACTATAATCCAATTTCTTTTTAGTGTTTTTGAAAGGAATCAACCGATTGCTTTATAATTGGACCGTTCAACAAAACAATAAATTGTCATTCAAATTTGCCTACGGATGAGTGAAAAGTTAGTTTATCAATAAAACGACACAGGGTAGGTGAAATGAAATTATGAAAACAAAGAATATTGCGGATAGGTTTCAGTTCAGGCAGTACAATCGCCAGCCCCGGGTCAGTATACTAGTTTCTGTGATCAAGAACTAATAATAAAGGTAGATTGAGGTTACTCACAGCCCAAGATAGAAAAGAATCGAGTGATTCCAGGTGACTGGTCTGCCAAAATATCCGGCCACACATATACCGTACCCCACCCTAGGTTTATAGGAACTGACTTCGAAAATTTAAATGTAATCAAGTCTAGTTTCACTATACTCCAAACTATTTTGTGATCCGACGAGCACGCGCTAATCTTTCGATTACTGAATCTAACTAGCGGGGGAAATTCCTTCCGTTGTACTATTGTGAAGATAACAGCCTAGCAAAACTCGTTTCCCACTGCAGTTCACACTGTCTCAACAAATCTATTTGATTTTTTTCTTTGGTTTTCAAAAACGCTATCTATACCTCGTACTAGGAATATATACCATATGTAACAAAAATATCAAAATAGATTTATTATTATGAGGATATTCTCAAAAACAGATTAATGTTGATTTCATAGAATTGTGAAGTAAATATGGAGCCAATCAATTCGTAAACTGTGCGACTGACAAGTTTGTTGAAACTGTGAATCTATTACCCAAAACGCATACAGGGAAATTATGCTGAAATTATGAATCATGGGGTTGATTCAGTTAAAGCACAAGAAAAAAGAATGCATTCATATTGACAGAAAATAGATGAAAGATTAGGGTTTCAATAGTGTATTCATGGTTGAGTAATATCTACATCAAGTGAGTTGTGGAGGATTTGGTTAAATTTCAAAGGTGAATTCATCGTGAATATAGCAAATGAAGCGTGAATTGAAAATCCAGGAAGCACCGGACAGCTCTTTTGAAACTGATTGGATCTCACCAGCAGTACGAATCCATCGACCTAGCTGGGGATCGAATCTGCGACCTCGTGGATAGAGCGCAAGAATGCTACCCACTAGGCCACCGGGCAGCTGATAAAACAGCTTTTCATTTTCCATTTACACGATATGGCACAACCCATCTTTACGAGCTTGTAGTGAGCCACAAACCTTGCTGTCCAGTGCTTTCTAGCTTTTCAGTTCTCACTTCATTTGCTCTATACACGACGAATACATCATTTCAATCTCTACATGTTCAATATCTTACAGGGTTTACTAGACCATTCGTAAATTAACGTCATTGTACATTCATTCAGTACCATGACAACTAACTATAAAACGGCAATGAACCGTAGTCGATTTCCAAGATATGTTATACATTAAATATCAAGCCAGTTTTCATACAACTGTTAAAACACTGTCGGAAAAAATTAGCAAACAAAAATTCGGCAGGTAATCATTACCGTCACTAAATATAAAGATATATCGAGAATAATGAAACGTTAGATGGACAATCCTACACCGTTGAGTACTAAAACCACTGAATTAAATGGACACGCACTACTTTTGAATCAAGGACAATTCAACTGTTCAGTGGTAGCAGCAATGTGAGTGATACGTTAGTGCTGCACGATTCAAAATCAGCTTCCAGATACTTATTTATTGTGTATTTAAATAAGTTTCAGTCAGGAGTAAAATTAGCCAAATGGAAATGATTTTTGTGCTTTAGGCTCAAACCATGTTTTGGATGAAGTTGGGCCTAAGTCTTTGCAGATATTAAACAAAAAATTATAGATTGTTATTGACCAATCAAATTAGGCAAACTTCTTGGAGGTATCCCAAAGCTATTGTCTCCGTCGGTGGATCAATAATCGGTCTGGATTCAGTAATTTGTTTCCTTATGTCGCCATATCCTTGAAAAAAGGTTCAATTGAAGAACGTGGTGCTGGTATGAGTAGAATGTTACGTTTGGGTGAACCCATTAGAACTAAACAAACACTGTTTTATGGTAATCAGTGTGAATATCACCCCTTGGTTGTTCTTCAATTTTAACGTGTTAAGTACATTCCAAGTGCTAATGATTGACAACAGTCATTGGACTGCCGTTTCATCATCGTTGACGCTCGTCAGCAAAGTATATATTTTGTGTCTTAGCCGAGACTCATACAGTGTGAACTTTTGAATCACGAATCGGAACCAATATACGTGTGCAGGATAACAAAACCCTGGCTCATTTTCCTTGAAATAAACAATCAACGCACTTAACATGTGATGAATCAAAGAACACCAAACACGTTGAACCCAAAATGAAAACCCCAAAGCGGTTCCTGGTACTTGTACACATCAAAGCGGGTAACCAGACCTAAAACCCCATGTATAGATGGATATTCATACATGAACCCGCGGCTAATGCGTCATGCTTCCAATGCTAAACCCGAAAAGTTTTCATTCACGTCTGGTTGAGGACCCAAGATGTATACACCTTTAAATAGCCCCAACAAATAATAAAAACAAAAATTAATCGCATATTATCCAGCATCTGAAGAAGATCTATTAAAAACTAAGATGCACAGACAAACAAGGAGGATGGGGGCTAGGAAACCGGCTTCCACTGCCTATTCCACGGACAGCTGGAAAACCTGCATCGCGCAAGCAGGCCTTATTATCAGTGCACTCTGATTTGGTGCATGAGATCTCAACGCTCTCACACACTTGGTCAGTATTTGGAACGTGGGACTTACTCCGCCGAAGTCGGTATAGTTGGGATCCACACGCCTCGTGAAAGCGCCAATAATTGCCTGGGTAGAGGGAACGAGAGAAAGAGAAAAAAGAGAAACACATAGCCTTGCGCGATGTTGGTGTCGGTCAGTTGTGGCATGTTTATTACTGTTCTGTAAAATACAATTCAGAAACGGATGATCTGATTTCAGACAAAGACGGGAAGTATTCAGCTCAGCTTGAAATAAGCCTAGAAAGTAGATGGCAATATTGTATTAACGCTTTATAGTTGTACATTCAGTGTGACTAGAATGAGGGACTCGGGTAAATCCATGGAGGTGAAGTATTGGTAACATCTAATGGTTTGAGTTAGATTATTTCTGAAATTTTTCTTATTGCGAATGTGTAACTGAAAATTTTAACTATTACTGACAACCGAGTTTCAGAAAAGATTGTGTGATCATCTAAGAATTCTACTCTCAGGCAGCATTCTCAGTTTAGCAGAAACATGAAAATGAAAGCCATCCAAAGGCGGTTTTAGCCTTATGTGAAGGAAAACGTAAGTTGCAGATGTGATATTTTGCCAGATGGCGACAGTTACGAATCGTTTTGTTTACCTCTTAAATGAGGACGAGCGCTCAATGGTTATACCGACAAATAGTCATTAACCCTTGCTCAATAGCACTCCTATGTGGACATGATTTATTTCGCTAATAGTAGTTAATATATGTCCTTTTGCAGGATAATAGCATTTATAATTTTTATAATAAATGTGCAATTTGTTTCTTTGTACTACCAAACGTGGCACGACACTTGAACGGCCATCACGTGTCCTTATCAAAATGTTCATTTTATATCCTAGCTCATATTCACAAATACAGAGTACCAATTCAACACTCTTTCTTAATTATTTCAATATGACCTTTTTGGCATCACTAAACAATTAGAAACGTCATTTGTTTCATAATGAAAAAATACATTAGAAAAAGATTTCCTATGGGTAATGGTAGATTATTGTCACGTGATCGAGGGTCAAGTGTCTCCACATTACTTTTTCACAACAGTTACATGAGCTAGTTTAAAAGTAATTGAGATATTCGTTGATGGGAAACTGAAGGTTGACTGAACCAATATTATTCTAAGCCACACGATATTTACCGAATTTCCGTAACAGAAACCTTTGTATCTGATCAAGTCTACACTATCCTATTTGGTACGTGCAGTATTTGTCATCAGGATGTATCGGTTTTGTTCTTGTGGCTTCTTCGGGCCGTCTTTATAGCTACGTTAATTAAAAGCACTTTCCGGGGCAGAAGTATGAACCGTTCGGGGCCATATTCTTACAAATTTGTCAATACTGCATGAACAAATTTCAAAGCATATGCTATTGGATGTTTCAAATTTCTTTTTACTTTTTACCAAATAACCTTTTGTTACGAGCACCACCTCAGATTTGCAACCTGGAGAACTTATTCCAACCGAATTGACGAAATCCACACATAGAAGAACAGAAACTAATATGAATACCTTGCTTCTTGTAGTTCCATGAGGAGGAACCGGTGGAGCAACCGGCTTGGTTTGTGAGGATGCAGCGGCCACAGAAGCATTGAATTTTGCCTGGATCGGAGTATACTGAGTACGTAGCTGAGGTGCACTGGGAGTTCGCTGACTGCTCCCGGCGGACTGACGTAAAATCCCACCACCTCGAGCAAACTGATCAGCGTTGGTATTTTGTGTGCGCCGTGGTTGATACTGACGCTGATAGCGTGGGATTCCACTTTGCCCGGTTTGACCCAGGGTTGAGATATCCGTGGTCGAAGTGGCTGCGTTGGACTGTGTCATTGCTTCCACTTGACGAATGATTTCTCGTACTGAGGGTAATATTGGCGATTCATTTTCATCCTAAGGATTAAGGAAGAACGAATCACATAAAATGGATACATGTCCTACCTATTTACTGCGTAAAACACGTAACGTAATCCACGTAGTTCCTACTGTTGTTTAAAATGATAGTTTGATTTTGTAAAGACGTTTTTGCCTTGTCCAGTACCTCAAATTACGGTTATTGTATTTAAGGTACACCTACCCACGTCAACATTTGAGGAATCAAGGTGCGCATTAACTGATTTACAGATCATTTGCGTGATTTTAAACTATTCAAAGTAATAATCTTTGCGCGTTAAATGATACGTTAAATGATACCGCTGGAGATGACATTATGAACAGGGAAACAACTGAAATCCGTATCTCTTTTTCTCCAGACTATTGTGTCACGATGCTTCAAAATAAGATTGAAGAAATTTTGATAGGCATGATCCTGACCACTTGAAAGCTAACTGGTTTTGAATAAATGAAGACATGTACTTTTTTGTCTCACAAACATAAGGTTTGGTGAACTCCTATTCTTCCCTATCAATGACAATCAATACTTGAATACAATCTAGCTCACTTAACCTAGCTTTATCGTTTAATTTGGACAAATTTTCAATGAAAGGATTTCATCTCTTTCTTTGAAACCTGTTACACCGCATAACTGCAATGAAGCTGCCCAAACCAGATCTTTAGAAACACGTGCGTACTTGGATGTCCTGCGGAGTTCTATATGAGCATACATCTCCAAACTCACATCTGGACCATCTACAGAGAAGGAATTGGCTTTCTGCTTCTCTAAACCCGGGGGCGAAGAGGTTCCGCGGCGTGAATGACTGTAGTTCATGTCCATAGCTTGATGGTGAATGGGAGTAATTTTCATCATTCGCGATCGCTTATCCATTTGCGAAGCTCCGTAATCCTGGGCTAGGTTGCTATCGGAGGCACGATAAAACGAGGTTGGGCTGGCCATCGGACTTGGGCCCGGACTGGGCTGGGCGCTACGGCTTCGAGCCGGGATCGTGACCGGACCGGGTTTGCTCCCGGATGTATAAACCTAAATAAAATGAGAACCGCATACAAAATTAACTTTTGTAACATGAATAGAAATCATGTACTCCAAACAATAGGATTGCCTTATCGATTATTCTACAGGCCTCTGCATGGGCACTTAATCATTATCCACTAGCCTCAAAAATGCTCCATTAGGGACACAAAAGCAGAACACGTTGCGGAATAGATAAAATGGTCATAAGACGGTAAGTGGTCCGGTCGCTCTATCTCGTCTAATAAAGAAAACTACACCCAATACTGCTGAAAAAGCATTTTGTGAAAACTTAATCTGCGAAATTTATGAACAATTTCCTCAGGAAATAAAATAATAATCTATTTCAGTGGCGGCATTTTTCATGATCATGCCAAAATTTTACTGAGGTTAAGCGCATGAACTAAGCTCGATTGAGATGTGATAGCAAACTGTACCAGTTTTAAACCAGGTCATCAACTGGTCAGCCCATCACCAACAAGCAGTGACCACAATAAAGCTTTTTATCGATGTTGATCGAGATAATGCAAGTAATTCCTTGTCGTGAAAGGATTCTCCCTGTATGTGCCAAATAATGAGATCCTTGAAAATGAGTAATCGCAATCAATTGGAAAATATAAAAAAATCTCTCAGCGGATCACAGCAGGGATCAAATTATTATGAATAGACGCTCATAATTATAATCACATTTGTCGTCGATTTAGGAAAGCAACCAGAGGGAGCATCCAGTAAGGGTCTTGTGACAATCGCATTGACATGGGTCAATTTGGATAGAAGCGTAACTTTTAAAGAAAATGAATGTTGAGCAGTTAACCGTCTATCGCATGTGTTCCACTTGAACGCGTAGTTTTACTGCATGAGGGTGGACTTATGTACAGCAGTTAATTTACATTTGTTGGATGCATTCTGTAGGACGCATCAATTTTCATATTTTGACTTTTGCATTGCCAATGTGTGAATTTTCACAAATAAACTCTGAATACAAGGCGTAACGGATAACAATTGGGTAGATTTTTATTCCCCCTAATCTGGCGACCTCGACGGAGTAGATTTTCTCCAAATAAATCGATGTTCGTCTATTTGGGTAAAAATAAACGCAGCCATCCAACACACTTGCCTGGGCTCCATCTCGAGGTGTGAAATTTAACGTGGTGTCTGACGGAAATCGACGTTGGGCTGCTCCGGATCCATGCAAGTTCTGTATTTTGCGATGACTCGGTCCTGAACAAGAGAAATACGGGACCAATTCACGAAAGAATCATTAAAATATGATCCATCGTTTTTTTCTTGATTGAATTGGCATTATTCGGTTATTTTGATTGCCCAACTCATTGATATCAAAAAACTATAACAATAAAAACACAAACAGCAGCGTTTTTAAAAATTTCGTTTCTGTGGGTTCTGATTACTATGCGATGCATTGCATACTGCGTCTGGTAAATACGTACGAGATTTTACATGAAATAAAACGCCGGAAGGTACTTCAGAATGGGGATATTATGTAGGCGTTTCTTCTAGAGTCCTAGGTTCGATTCTCAGTTTGATCGGTCGCATCGCGATGTACATGAGCACGGATACTACTCTGATCATGCCTCCTTTGTTCCGTCTGAATTCCACAAGATTCTGCTGCGGTCAGTCAGAATGGGCTCACCGATTTAAAACATACAAATTCGTTTCACTTTATTTTTGCTTTTGAAATACCTTCCACGCAGAGTGTTGCAATAATGTTAGGTTGGATTTTGTTCTACTGAGTGCATCAGGTCGCTATTATTTACATCAAACTCACCTTTAAAGTGTTTTCTTGTATAGTTTGTGTGAAGGGCGCATCAAGTCCGAATTCTGCATTTTGGTTATAATCATAAAACTGATTTTTTCAATTCCCACTTTGTCAAAATGCTTCATATAAAATGGTTTCCACAATCATAAAAATTTAATTTGAGTTATCTTAACAGGAATCAAAGGCTAGGGTTATTTATGCCCCTGATAAGTTAATGTATGCATCCTGATTCATGAGATATCTTACTCACAAAAAAGCTTTACCACCGGGACGAATTCAACTTTCATACGATAAGCAAATTCATTATTTTAGGATTTGCGTGACGCACAGACAGAAGCATCTTGTTGAATATTCCTGTTTCCTAAAACAATCTCTGTCTTCTCCGTGCACTGGGCACCTAGTGGTGCATGTCAGGGACCGTTTTGATGCCAGAATGACAGTATAATATAAATAGCTAATTGGTACGTCTAACAGAAATTGACAAGTGATTTGAAATCTCTTCGTGGATCGGTGCTAATTCTATTTGTTGAATTTCTGACAACAGAAGATCTGAAATTTTATTGGCGTTCTTGTGATTGGTTCTCTAGGCGTAAAAGTGATGTATGCTTATTCTCGGAAATGTGTTTCCTACTCGGTAGGAACACAATGACTGAAAACCTAAACATTCTTGCTAATGGTGTTAGCTTAAATATAAAAAAATGCTAATCTCATAAACTTTCTGTCGAGCTTAAATTATATCTTCACCCTTCTGTGGTACTTGTTCTCAAATGTTTTTTTCAAGGTTAATAAAATATTGTATCTTATTTTTAACACAAATGTTTTGTGATTTATCGAATAAAATGATGATTTTTTTGCCAATTTGCTGGTAAAAACAAGTAGAACAGTGATGGTTTGTTTGTTTTACAAGTTTTCGATGAATACGTTTGGATGGAAACGACGTATTCTTCATTGAGTGTGACTGACAATGGATCAAGTGAAACCCTCAGTTGGTTGTGCTAACCATACCCTCAGCAGACGCTATATCGAGTTTCTCCCTTATTTGAGCTAATCAATATAACCGTTCGACTGGAAGGCATTGATTATGAGAGCTAAACCCCTTGTATGTAACGCGTGCTTCTCACCACTTGGGAAACTGTTCACGTCTGATTTAATAAAAAACGCGAGTTGGTTTATTCACATGTTGGGGTCTGTACTGTAGTGTATGAACTTAAAATTTATCACTAATAGTTGCATAATTTTTGATAATATGGAAGCTTCTGTACACTTAGCTTCTTGTTACCTCACGATAACCTTGCTGAAAACAGAATTACTTAAAAAACCTATTCCAGAAACAAGTATTCTATTTCATTGTCATATTTAGTTCCATCATTGATAAGTAGTCAAAGCCCTAAAGGATTCCATAGCACACCGGCTGCGCTTGAGAAAACTAAAAATTAAAAATCAAACTTTACTGGGCCAAATGACGCAGTTTAATTTAAATCCTCCAGAAAAAAACGCGTGTTTTGTTATTATTCAACGAACCTAACCAACCGAGGTTGAACAAACGTTCAGCACACACGATATATGTAAACTTTATCTAAACTTATATTTCGCTGAAAATCGCAATAGAATGATTTAAACCGTATTGCAAAGGCAACAGTCTTTGGGCTCTGTTTCCCAAAGGATTCCAACAACCAAGCGGTAGATGTAACAATTACTGTTGTCTTGAATTCGAAGGTTGAACAGCATTGCTGAATATAATCACACCCTGAATGTACTTAACAAGTTGCGGTAGGTCGAGGCAAACAAAGCGTAAATTCCACTTTTACCTACTTCCTTCTAGTATTTTGTAAAGGGTATAGAACAATTCCAAGTTTCAGAAACAGTGAATGAACAAAGCAGTAAATGATCTGACATGGCTGCGTTTACGAAATAATTCCAGTTATGTTCTTTCAGGGAGTTCCTAAGCCATGAATCCCGTGGAGAATATAAACAGTCGTTGACCACGATGGCATATTGTGGATTTTAATTTAGGGCATCACATGGTATTATCCAATCAAAATAGCCCTTTATTTTGAAAAAAAATAGAATAAATATTCCAACGGTTGTTTCGCAAACCTATAACCACGACAGGAAACCATAGATCTGAGCAACGGAAGAATATTAGAAAGCATGTTCTTTCCCAAATTGGTTCCTATATCGTCTTGGTCATAAATGGGTACATGGAATAATGTACTATACTAGCATCAATGATGCTAACTGTTTATCAAAATAATGGATAAATAAAAGCGCAAACTAAAATTTTCGATTCAATTAACGCTATCCAAACTATTATAAACTTCCTTCTGCTTCTAGAACTTTGTATACCCATAAATTCATGACCTTAGTTCATAGATAATCCATTTTTAAAACGTGTATATCTAAGATTTTATGATGCTTGCAACAGTTCTAATTACTATGACTGTCTAGATTATTGGTTTCCAGTTGTCAAATTTCGCGATTGCTTAGCTATTTAGTGTCTATTTTTAACATGTAAAAAATGTCAACGCTTGCGGGGAAGACCTTTTCGGTTAGCATTTATAAATAACATTCCTAGTAATGGTTTTTTATACTTAATGTTACGTTTTTAACCTGACAATTAATGAGGGTGAAAATATGCACTAACCAGGGTAATTATTGCATTTCATCAGTTGTATTAAGCATAGCTGATCTAAGGGCAATCATGTTCGGCAGAATTCCAAACATTTAAAACTAGAATATTGTATCTCAACTTGTTGTATAAACAGCAATTCCAGGCATGCTTTAAAACGATAAAGCCGATTACTAATTTTCATGAGCGCACAAATTATTTTCAATCCCGGATTGTTGTTTTAAAACGGCAAAAAGCATTCATTTGCTAGCACCTAAAACGAAAATAAACGTTTGCCTTTCATTATTCATTATAGCTAATTTCGGTCTCATCTGCCTAGCGGGCATAGCGACAAACTGATTTCAGTCTTACTCATAACCGCAACAAAAAGCACTTCCTTTGTTATTTGAGCATTTGAGAAAGTTTATATTGTCAGTTTCCCTAAACAATACCTAAAATGGTTTGAAGTTTCACTGTGTACTTGTGCGGTTGTAATGCACAATCATTTGATAACTCAACACAGAGATGCATAAAAATCAGTACATGCCAGTAACAAACCTGTTCAAAATTACGAGAAATCAATACAATAAACTATAAGACCTTGTTTAGCTTTTTTAATTTGTCTTAATTCCAGCTAATCAAATGTAGCAAATCCACGGGGTATCTATAACGGCAACGCATTGTCTCAAGATTAACACCTAACGAATGCGCGTTCAATTCAAATCGCACAATGATTGTTATGGACAGATAAATATTCAGATAACACTCTAAATGCCGTAAATCCTTCCGCATAACATATAGATGTAGTAAGATCCCTCTGTGAAGTCGTGTATCTGGGAGTCGATCCCCGTCTGACTAACTTTGGTAAGAGCGCGGCAGATAGTTAACCAGATATACAGTCGGAACCATAGTTCACTAATCACTTGTATTTTGTCTTGCTTTCCATTCTCGATTTTAAGTCCCAGATAATATATCCAGCTTGGATTACAAGTGAACCATGCCTGTTCTATCTTCAAAGTAAACTTTTAGAGCTTATTCATGAAATACAGCGTGAAAAGATAGAAACTGCTCAAGTGAGAAGCAGTTATCAGATTAAATTACTTCTAGCGCATCACGCTGAGATCCGAGACAAACAATTTCTGGAACAATCATAAATGTGAGTTCAGCGAAGTTATTAGTCGATAGTGGGTAAGACGTCTAAGGACAGCAATATCTTGACGATTCTCAACATTTTTTCTTCTAATTATACATAACAGGTGACCCACTGCGGAAACCTAAGGCAAAGAACCTCAAAATTCTAAGTCTCGCAATACATAGATGATGAACTTTCAAAACCAAAAATCGAAACTCTTTCTTTAATGGCTAGATTATTAGAAAAAGACCATATTCTGAGTAAATTGTTTAATTTTAATATATTGATTAAAGTGACTTTTGTTATCAGCACTGAAAACGCAGACCGCTTTGTTAAAACGAATCCATACAACCTCCAATTCCAAAGCAGCAGCATTAAAAGATAAAGTCATCGGATCTTTGTTAAATAAAGCATGTTTGCAACCCGTTTCAGAAAACACTGATGCCTAGTAACCACAGTTTGGTATTGTTCGTGNGTTCGTGGTCATGTCATTTATTGAAAACAATTACTTAAATACCACGCTTAAGTAAATCGTTTATTCTGCCTCAAACCCAGTGACTTTAAACATGCATTCAGCAAAGTGTGCTTCTTTCTGCATAATATCATGCCAGTCATACTGGTACACTTTTTCCCAAACCGATGACTTCTTGTGCACCAGCCATAAAAACTTGATACCTGTTAGGTCTAAGATTTACTCACAATGA